AATACAACCTCTACATAAAATTGTGGTTACTATAATAAGCACCACACACATTCATACTGCAAAATCCAGAGAAAAAAGTTTCATCACATGCTTCGCTTATCATCCTATGATTTGTCAAACATGAAATACAGCGATTGGAATAACATGGTACTGAAATTGTCACCTTCGACTAGGATTGGCTTAAAGTGTTACAACTGAAGTTTACCACGCCTAGACACTGTTATATATATATAAAAACATACTAGAAAAACGTTTAAATACCAATCATAGATGGCAGGACCAGTGCTGAAGTGCAAGGAAAACATTTTATTTTTAGAGGGGATTATTTAGTGTTTCAAACGTATTTTGGGATTATTTCTTTTATTAAATGTCTCTTCAAACTTCATTAAATAATGCAATTTACTTCAAATAATTGAACGTTATGCTACTATTTACAAAAGTAAAATCTGAAATCCAATAAAAGATAAGTTCTCTGTAATCTTTTCAATTAACAAATGTGATTTTGCCCTCACGATAAGACAAAGGCCTCATAGGTAAGGGTTTAAGGGCCAGAAATATTTTTTTGAAAATGTTCTGTCGTGTTTCGCCTTACAGACTTCATGTAAACATGAAATAATCATTATTTTTGTAGCAATCCTCTAAGGCAGCAGGCAGCAAACTGAGCAAAAAACAGTGATGCTAAGTCAATTATGCAAATATCATCAAAATCTAAGTATACAGTGGTTATTGAAATTATAAATAAAACTCTCTTTGCCTACATTTCTAAATAAAACAATGCAATGTTAACATAATCTGAGAAGTTTAAAACAATTCACTAATAAGTTTCTAATTCATAATTTAAACATGTTTCCTAAAATTGAGAAATTGGCCCTTATTGGGCTAATGTTTGTATTTTTGTTATAGTATTACGTGGATCACACAATGCGACCCTTGAAAACTGATTACTGGCTACTTCTTCCACAAAGGGAAAACAGTTCTCAATTACACAAGAATTGTGCATTTTACTATCTAAGAAAATATAATGAATTGGTTTAGTTCAATGACATTTCACTGTTATTCTGTTGTGATTGAAAGCTGCAACAACATAAGATTTACATTTAGTATCTCAAATGCTTACCATAAATGTTTTTCATTATATGAAGATCATAAAGGTCACAATGGTGAGTAGTCAGTCTGGGAATTGAACTCTGGTAGTTCAGTTGTTATGAGAACTAGTCTTAGAACACTACTGTGATCCAAAGGTGTAGGTTCAAATCCTTATCAAAGTAGATTTCTTAACATCCTGATATCGGTACCCAGCTAATGGTCATCCCTTCCCTGAGAGCCATTCAAGCTAAGTACATGTTTGACTCAGTTCTTGCCTGGTGTGTCACATGTACTCATGATAGTACTGTTGGCCTGAAGGTGCCTTGTTGTGCTCTTGTGTATGTTAATAGCTAAATAGTTTTGGGTTGTGTGTAGGGTTCGTGGATGGGCTTTATTTCATTGGAGAAATAGATTACAGTCAGGATGGAGAGCTGTCTTCTTGGAACTTGAGCTTTCCTAGCTTAGTTGATAAAAAGTGATGGTCTCAGAACACTAGTGTGCCAAGGGTCATAGTTCAAGTCCAGTCAAAATATATTTCTTAACATTCTGATACACTATATCGGGTAAGGGTTGCTACCAAAATAAATAAAATACTCTAATAAAACTTCAAAAATATTCAAAGATAAAAAAAAAAATTAAGGTCTATATAGTGCTTCTTGAATACTGACAATCATTTTTATACTGGTACACTATTACTATTCTTCAGTTTTTATTGAAACATACTTTTTCATCATGCATCTGCAAATATATTTTTTGCTTAGTTTATTGAATATTTCAAAGCTATAGGCCTTCATTCATACTTGTATCATGAATTCTACATTCTATTGGGCAGCAAAACGTATTCCCACAAAAAATAGAAAACCTAGGAATTTCACATCCTGAAAAATTCTTGACAACTGTTAAACTTACCAGGAATTATCTCCCTTTATTATTAGATATGATTTTGATTATTTTTTACATGGATAGGGGATAAACAATATAAAAATGTATTTCATGGCTTAAGTTAGGCTTCAGTATACTATAAACAAAACTATTCAAAGTATTTTATTGTAATGCCTATCTGAAATTTTGATAAGTACATATCTACAGGCTCCTGATATGTACATATCTATAGGCTCTTTTTTTTCACTTAAAAGCTGACAGTTCTTTTTTGTTTTGTATAAAAGGAATTTTTTAATATGTAGCTTATTCCATAAGATGCCTTTACAAATACAAATATTTGTTTTATAGAACAAAGTTTGCAATAAATAGTAGAGGAATTATATATACAAGTTATGTACTTCAAAGAATAACACTACTTTTGTTCATTTATCTAAGATAAATAACATGCAAAATCTTGAACATTTATTGTTACTACAGGCATGCATAGGGTGTATATCCTTTTCTTTTTTGTAAAATTATGATCTCTTGTGTAGTTGGACAGAAAAAGCAAAATGTCAGTGACAAGAAAGAGTCCACTACTGATAACAGTTGAATTCTTTACCCTTGAGATTGACCGATCTCTTGTGTAGTTGGACAGAAAAAGCAAAATGTCAGTGACAAGAAAGGGTCTACTACTGATAACAGTTGAATTCTTTACCCTTGGGATTGACCGATCTCTTGTGTAGTTGGACAGAAAAAGCAAAATGTCAGTGACAAGAAAGAGTCTACTACTGATAACAGTTGAATTCTTTACCCTTGGGATTGACCGATCTCTTGTGTAGTTGGACAGAAAAAGCAAAATGTCAGTGACAAGAAAGGGTCCACTACTGATAACAGTTCAATTATTTACCCTTGGGATTGACCGATCTCTTGTGTAGTTGGACAGAAAAAGCAAAATGTCAGTGACAAGAAAGGGTCCACTACTGATAACAGTTGAATTCTTTACCCTTGGGATTGACCGATCTCTTGTGTAGTTGGACAGAAAAAGCAAAATGTCAGTGACAAGAAAGGGTCCACTACCGATAACAGTTCAATTCTTTACCCTTGGGATTAACAGACAGTACTAAGTATTCAGTGACTATCAACACTACATATAAAAGTAAACAGATTATTATTTTTTCTTTTATTACAAAGGATAACTCTCACACACTGCTTTAATAAAATTTTGGCTTTTTATATTCTGTATCAAAGATGGGACCTGTAAAACTAATTTTCTCTAATATTGCAGGCTTTCAAGCATTTTTGGAAAATTTATAGCTTGTTTTCTATTATTTTAGGGATAAATTTAGGAATTTTAGGGACATTTATGATCTTTTTATAGCATTTTTTTTTCAAACTACTGCATCAGAAACATTTTTTACAACAAACAGAAACAAATAAACTCACAGAAATGACTTATTTTGCTTGTTATTAGGTTTTCAGCACATTGTTTTCCATCACATATTTGATGCATATTAAAAGAGTGATATGGAAGTACATGTATTTATTTTTGAAGTATGCCAATAATAAAACTCAAGATGGTAAAACCTGGTGGAACTTGCATAGTATACACAGCTTCAAAACAATGATTAAATAGGTACTTAGACAGAAATACATAACACACAAAATTTAGTTGGCTTTATATCATTAAGTTTCTTGTTAAGAGGCATACAAAATTTAGAAATTCCCCAAAGAACTATATATTTTTTTCTGAACCCACCTCCCCCCTTTTGACATCTTGTTTTAAGAACTTTAGTAACATCCCCAAATTCTAGGAATTTTAGATATGCTTGAAAGCCTCTATTCTTTTAATCTTGAACAATACAATCTTTCAATTACAGTTTTTAGCATTATAAAAGATATAATTTGTATTTACCTTCTCCCACTGACCATCAGGTAAGTAAACCAGATAAAAATTATTCTACATTTTTTTGATGAAACAAGAAAAAGGATGTTCATACACAAACTATCACATTCAATTTCCTTTTGTTTCAGTCTGACATTCAACATCAAAACTGTTACCACAAACTTTCCAACCATTTTAAAGGTATTTTTAAGTGTGTCATCAATTGGTATCCTAGACTTTTTTGTTCCCAAAGTTAGGCCTGACTTTGAGTAAACCCTTAATGAAATAGTGTGAATAATTAGATTACTATCAAATTTAAAGTCTTTCACTAGATAAAAATTATTTTACATTTAAAACCACCACTTATTTCACCGGATATTTCAAACTGTTGGAGACATATCACACCACTTTAGAGTTAAACTTAAGTTCTGTAAGAAAGTTTGCAGTACCAAAGCTATTGAGAATGAGAATGCTATGGTAACATTTTCATTAGAAGATTTTACAGTATGTACTACATGTACAATATGTTTTTTCTACTCATATATAAACATGGCTGAAAAAAGAAATATTAATGAGCAGCAAGTTTTATCTTACCATCATCTACAGTATTCTCTTATTATTGGGATAACTGAACCATTACTTGGCTCCAACTAACCCTTAGAGTGAAATAAACAAAACAATGATGCTGGAGTACCTTTTTGCCTAATTTTAGGTTTGTGAAAATTCAAAAAGGTTAAAATCACCTGAATATGGTGAAGTTGTATAATCCAAGTGGTTCCGGACAGAATTGTTCTGATTTTGGTGTAATATTCAACAATAGGTTCACTCATTTTTGTGTATAGATGCAAAATAATTTTTTTTTGAACACTGTGACATACCTGTTACACACCAACAGAATACAATAAAAATAATAATTTAATCTTTTTTCAACACTAGTAATACATTAAAACAATGTTTAGCCATGCTGCTATGGTTTGATTTAATGGTCTTTTATAGACTTTTAACGGTACAATTTGAGATGAGCATTAAGACTTGAGCTGAATAAAACTTACTTGTGCTGCTCGAAGTCTTTCAGCAGCAGCTTCTCTTACGACCTCCTCAGCATTTCTTTTCATGTCTGCTGTATCTTCAATCTTACTTTTGATATCTGGAATAATGTTTTTTAATTCTTCTAGTTCTTTCTCAATACCACATTCAAAATCCACCTGGTTACTTTCTGGTTTCTCCTTCAATAATTTTTGTAAGTTTATTATTCTGTCTTCTATCACCTGAATAGCTTTCTCAAAGTGTTCAACAGCAGTGTCAAATTGATTATCAAATGAATAGGCTAGTCCAAGTTGGTAAAAGCTACAGGAAATTAAGGAAGCTAATTTCGACTCACAGTGAACAACTTTTGTTCTAACATTTAAAAAATAGCACATTATCAATAAAACCTAAAAATGTTCTTTCCACCTGAGAAAATAAATTTAAGTTTGATCTCAAATAATAATAAAACAGTGCATAAAGTAGCTCCTAATTTTTTTTTATAAACTAAAAGTTGTGCCAAAATTTTATAACTAATTATTTTACAATAAAACATATAACCTATTTTATCACCAGATATATATGTGAAAGGCTTTAAATATAGTTATTCTCTTTACAATTCCTGTTCTCATACAGAAAAAAAATAATATATCCTTAGGTATTTAACTAATCCTCAAAATAAAATTGGAGAAGCAATTTTCTAATTCTTTAAGTTGTCCCAAAACATTATTATTCAATGTTGAATTTTCTACAAAACATTATGTCTTTTGTAACAATAATAAAAAAGGATACGTATCAGCCAAGTTTCTATCATCAGGTTGAAGCAAATTTTTCCTCAGCTTTAAACAATCATTCAGATCATCTAAAGCCTGACGATAATTTTCTGACTCTATGCTGACTTCACCAAGCTTAAGCATTATTTCTGCTGTCTTCAATTGAATTAAGGGGTCACCACCCTCAGCTTGTCTATGAAGTACAAATAAAGTCAACTTAGAATAAAATCATATTAATATAAAACAATGTCAACTACCACAACAAGCCAGAATCCAGGGACCATAGAAGAATTTACACAAGATTGTTTGCCTGTTTGTGATGATATAGACTGAAAAATTAAGAAAAACATAATTCTAATGATATTCAAAATTATATAAAAAGAAGTCTAGTATAAGCAACTTACACAAAAGAAAACAGAAACAATTTTACAGCTAAGCCAATGCATTTATGATCAGAAAATGAAGTACTTTATTTTGAATAATTGAGAAATAAATTTTAACTTCACAATGGCTAGTAACTGGATGACTTGCATGCTATGATGGCTAGAATTTTCTTTAGTATATATATATATATATATATATATAGGTTTGGGGGGGGGGGACATATCATGTTTCTACATCCCACTGACAAAAAACTATCATTATACTTTAACAGAGGTGAGAAACATCAGACCCTATAGGTGCCACAGGGTTGAACTATCTCATACACAGTGCTGATAGGAATTAAATTCCCTTGAAAAGTGAATTTTTTTATGACAACAAACTTAATGGTTGTAATCTGAAGCAACTGCTAATCATGAAAATCAAAGAAGAATTTACTTATAGCATTGGTTGGCCTATATATGATGCGAGACATGAACTCAAGCAAGAAATAATTTGAATAAATAAACATTTTAAATCAAACTGGCTTTGAAATTTGGCTTTGAAACATAATTGTGTATGACCGACTAGTATGTCACGCAGTCGATTACTAAATGTCAGTTGTGACCCATCAGTGGGGCACATGGTAACAAATGTGCTAAATAACGTGCTAGTAACAACATCAGTTATTTTATTACAAATCACAGATTTTACAGTAAGGAAGATGTGTTTTTAGAACAGGTACAACATTTCGGTCACTGGTGCAATCATTCTTCAATACACAAATTTTAACAGTAAAGAAGGTTTCAGTATTAAAATCAACATTCAACAATCTAATTTTGTATTTAAATTTTAGAATCAATACTGGTTACTTATGCATGTACATATCAATATGTGTGAATTGACAAATTATTTATTTATTGTTGAACAGAAAAAATAAAAATAAATAAATATGTTACGTAAAATATTTAGATAAGATTAGGAATGTTTGGGGAAATAACGATCAAAGACATATGGAGAGTTGTTTGATTATATTAATAAAGCTTTTCTGATTTTTTTCTTCTGGTAATGTCAGGTTCATGTTTTAGTATTGTGACATTCTGTTCAGAAACACTGTGATCATGACGGGTAGTTGTTTTCTATAGAACTGAATGAAGCTAATGGGAAAACCATTTGTAAAATAGAAAAATTTGTAAAGTCTTTTTCTTTTTGAAGTTAATCATCAATACAGATTTTTGGGATTTAGTCAAAAAGTTAACACTTTTCTATACCGAAAATGTATTTCTGATAATACCTACCTCCTCTCACACCTTAGCTTTATCCCGACAAAAGTTTCACTTCTCTGCCCATTAAGCATTGGTATGAATCTTACCTCGCTTGCTCCAGCTTTTATACTCCACTATGTTACCCAAAGCAAGTTAAGTTTTGTAATTCTTTCCACCTACGTCAATGCAGCTCCTATCCCAGATCTGAACATAAGCTCCCTGTTATTACTTCCTCTTCACTTTTCCAGACAGTCCAATTAGCAGACCCAATAACTGGCCATTTTGTGGGGAGGAAGGGCAGGAGAGTGAGAAAGGAGGTGAATATTATTGAAAATACATTTTTGATATAGAAAATGTAAACTACCGAAACACATCAACCTCTTTTTACACTTTAGCTAAAATCCCACATTGACCAGATGGAGGGGCCAGTGAGGGCAAGATCCATACGGAAAGCACCTGCGTAGAAAAGAGGTGTGCAAAAATAAAATACAATAATAGCACACTAGTGGGCTTTGCACTACTTCTGAAACAGGTATGCTCTTCGCCTGAACAACAGAAATTCTAATTCCTGGGAGGTAAAGGTCGAACAGCCAAAGAGACAAAACCCTCACATCTTTAGAAGAACACAAATTTGTCCAAGCCCTAACCAGGAAGATGAGGTCCCATGTGTCATATTTGGAATTACAGGGCTGTGGACCCAAATCTAGATCCAAGGCATAGTGGCTAGGGCAGGAGGACTGCTTTGTATTTGATCTTGTTTAATAACGTTGTATTATTAGAATTCAACCTGAAAGTTACAGAATGTTGCATATTGAGCCACTGGGATTACAAAGAGAAGGCAAGCAAAACAAAAGTGGACAAACCTTCATCCTAACCTGAAGAAGCATAAAATGCAACAAACCAAACTCAGACTCACTCAACCTGAAGAAACAGAGATTAACCAGCCTGAGAGGCAAGGCAACACCTCCTGCCTCTGGTATTATGAGGAGGATGTGGAACAAACTACGTTCAGCCAACATCACAGGAGTTAATGTTCTGCGTGCAGAATTATGAGGAGTCAAGAACCCTCTTCCACGATCATCGAAATGAAGAGAATGACCAAAAAAGAAGGGCCACACTCAACTCGATAGCAAAGAGTCATCTCTGAACCAGAATAATGAGGAATAAAAAGTAGGGTTAAGTGTCATTGACATTCAAAAGCAAATAAAAAGAAGACACAGGTAAGTACTTTATTTCTTGTTTTTCATGTTTATTCTTAATTTTTTATTATAAAAGTAACTAAAATATAAAAATATGGATCTCTTTCGGTTAGTAAAGGTTAGATTAGGTAAAATAAATAATAATAATATAATAAAAATATTTTACGAGGCATGCATGTGAGCTGCATGGAGTATCTCATGGGTAATGCAATTCGATAGTTAACATGATCTCCACGTTCCCCCAAGTGATTTACAACTTATAATGATGCAAATTATACATGGCTCAAAGGGCAATAAAACAATAAAATTTAATTATAAATACATGTATACTAAGAGGTCAGTCAAATTGACCAACTTTATACAGTTAGGGTAGAGAAAATTACAGATAAAATATAAAGTTTTACTAAAAACAAACATTTGAAATGTATTTAGGAGGTTTTAGAGACTACACAAAAGAAATTTGAGATGAAGAAAAATATTTTTAATCTTAACATGAAAACCACTTTGCACAAGGACTATTCAAAACAAATATTCAATATATTCAAGGAAAAATCTTTTTTTTTAGTTTATTAAAAATACTTCACTAAAACATATGACTTTTGTATGTGAAAGACTTATAATGTTTACTGAAAGACTGCCACATAGTGTGAAGATATACACACTATATTAAAAGTAAGAAGTATCAAATCTATAAAGACTTTGAACAAGTACAAAGATGTCACATGGTCGGTCAAATGGACCTGCCCCATATTGAGAGAGGTGGATGATTAAATGGATAGCTTTGTGTTGCAAATGAAACAAAAAAAGGTTGCAACATTGAATAAAAAATAAAAATACACACAAAAGAAGTAAAGGAAAAAAAAACATGCTTTGTTTGGATTCTTGTAAGCCAATGTTATTCCTTTAGAACCTTGATTGTTGATATCATCTCTTATGTTACATGCATGTGTATTATTGTCACAGAGACAGAATTTGGCAGCATACCAGTCAATATGACATGTAGTATTACACCATGCAATACACAGTTTTAGGTTTTTTTTACAGTACATTTTTAAAGTCCCAAGTTAATTACAGTATTAGAAAAATGAAAAATAATGTTTTAAGAAAAAATAACTTTTGAAAATTGAGCATCTTGTATCAGTGTATTTTCTTTGTTTCACACAATATCCACAATTTCATACAGTTCACTGTTTGGCTTGACAACAAAATTATCAAGCTTGGCCCAAACGTTTCTAATTGGATTAGCCAAATTGCTATAAAATAAAAATATAAAAGGTCAAATCAGACACTGAGACTATGAGTGTGTTTTAAAAAGGTTTCTTGGAATTGAAAAGAGGTACTGTTGGTGCAGTATGTCAAAGTTCCAGGATTGTGTTAAGATTTAAGTTATTCGTAGTTTGGGTAGCATCTTCATTGAGTCCTTCCTATACAACAGGTAGAAAAGGTTGACAAGGATAAGAAGAAACATGTTTATGATGTACAAATTCACAAATTGATCATTTGATTATAGGTTCAAATCCTTCCTTTTTTCAACAAAAGTGGCAGAATTTATCACCAAACTTTCTTGCGAGGCACAGAATAGTATGAGCACGATTACCTAGGTGGTGAAAGGGGACAACCTATGACAATTGGTTAAAAGAGTGATTTCTAGTATATGAAACTTAGGTAGACCATAGAGTCATGGTGGTTTGATACTGTTGATTATTTTGTTGGATCCTTTAAAGAATAACAATATGAATTTCTCTCCTATTTCTTTAACAGAGCACATACAGCATTACAACATAACTATATAAGGAAACAATTATAAATTAGATACAACTTAAGGGAAAAAACTTAAAATCTGTGCTGTGATATCAATGAACACTTCCAGCATAAATCTAAATATATATATTTCTTTGGGATGCACAGGTACCCGGCCAGTATTAGGTTACTCGGTAATACTCAACTCCCGGCCAAGTGTCGAGGTTAGGCGTCTAAGCCCTAATCTTTGTGGCAACTGATGCGGTACTGAAAGTTAGTCAATAATTTATTTAGTTAAAAAAAGCAAAATATTCCAAGCAACAAATACTGACCACCCGCTGAAAGTCGGGAATTTAGAGAACAATAGGGGTTAATAACAGGCATGTTTTGAGAAGTGGATTTCTGGAGAAGGAGGGAATTTTGAGAACAATAGGGGTTAGGGTTTGAAAAGTTGGGGCAAGACATTGAAAGTTGAAAGTAAAACATGAATGTTCTGTTGGTGATTATTCAGTTATATGTAATAAACATCAGTTTTGTTTTTAGTTTTTGTGTATGTTTTGGGGGGGGGGAAGAGGGGAGAACTCAGTCTCAGTTGACACCCGGCCCCGCCTGAAGCTTAGTGACCAGGTACCTGGACCCAGTATTCGGCCAAATTTTACACACACACACACTCACTAAATGAAAAGGTGCATACATGTTCAATGCATAAACCTGGGAGGAAGTGGTGAGACAAAAGCAACATTTAACAGTTTTAATAAATGTTATTAACACAATTCAGTGTCACCAAAGAGAAAAATATAAATTGATGACATAAAAATATATAAAGGCACTAAAAATAAAAACTTTAGACAAGTCTCAAAAAAAAGAAACAATAACTAATACAAATGCATAATACTGCAATACTTATGGCAAGTGTAGAAATTTATTTCTCTATCTGTGAATTTAACAAAGCAAACTTTCTTCCAAGGTGATTAACTTGGAAACTGATGAATAGAAAAAGCATATAAATGTCTATTGGTAATACCTTTTGAAGATGAGCTTTGCCAATTCAAGAAATTCCCATGCTAACTGTAGATTAGAGATTTCATCCTAAAAATAAAAATATCTTTTATTAGATGGTGAGATTGAAGAGACAAATTTTAAAATAAAAATTGCATCAATATCTCCATTAGATGTTACACTTTGGCTAAAATGTATATTTAGAATTAACATAAATGTTATATGTAGGAAAGTTAACATTTTCCTACACTGAAAATGTATTTTTGATAGATACCTCTTCTCATATAATAGCATTTTTTGGCTTGTGCTGCCCTCTATTTGCATAATTTTCACTCAGCACTAGCCTTGAGGCTCCCACCTACCCTCACACGATTTCAAATGAGCATGCAACAACCCTCCACCAATAGGCGTGTGACACACCCTCCTAGCACAGCTGACTCCCTCTATATTGTAAGTATCTATCAGAAATGCATTTTCAGCATAGGAAAATGTTAATTTCTGATATACCATACCTCCGTTCACTTAATAGCTAGAATCCCACACTGAAACAGTGGAGAAACTGGTGCAAAAGTTATCTAGATGTGCATTCTTCGGCATGTGCCTGAAAAGAACCCATGTAGTGTGACACCCTAATGTATAGGATCATGCTCATGGGAGACTGTACCCCATCTGTACCAGGTATAGTCTTTGCCCATTGTCAAGATACATGTTGCCAAATCTGGCAAAAAAAAGATGAACGTCCAACCTGTAATTGGGCTCACCAGATAGTGTAGAATGGCAAGGGCACATCAGACCATATTTGCTCAGTCACCTCCACTCCAAAACCTGGCATTATTGGACATTTTTTTTTTTCATTTTGCAGTAGTAGAAGGAGCCCTTCCAAGCACATGTGAGGACTTATGTTGGCTGGTCCTACACCAATCCAAAACCAGACTGCCCAGTAACTTAGAGCCAGGCAGAAACAAAATGGGGGGAAAGTGAGCCAGAGTGGTGAAATTCATGTAATGGATTTGTCCAGCCCAAAACCAGATGGCATTGGGTATTTGTCTTCCTGTCCATGGTAGGAGGAGAGTACTCACCATCTACACCAACAGAACACCACCATCCTACTCTCAAATGGATGGAATTGGTCACATTCGGGAGGAAGCCTCCATGGCCCACCACCACAGTGGCTAAGAGCTGGTAAGTGGAAAGGATTCCTATATTCTACTGAGAGAAAGAGGGAGGGTAATAGAACAGTGGAAATCTGGAGGAACACAGCACCATAAGACAGTGCAATAGGTTACCATAAAAACCTTATTTAGAAAAGCAGGCCATTCCGAGTTAATTCAACTAGGAATGGAGGGATGGCAGCAATCTCAACACTGCTTTACTCATGACAGTCCATGAGTTGGTACAGTCTGGTGTGGGCCTTATTTATGAATCAAGATACCAGCAGTCTTGTGGAACATCCTATCTCTTCAGTGAGTATTATAGACTTGTATGACCATACGGTGCAGATTTATATTTAAGTGTACCTGGACAGGCACCACTTACCACAGAGCGAGATCCAAGAAAGGAGAAAGAAATAAAAAAAGTAAAAACTTGCCCTTTTCGAGTCAAAATGAGGTATGGAGAATGGCAACAGGTAGCAAGTGATAGCTAGATGAGGAGGAGATGGCCAAATGATGCAGATAGTGAGCAATAAACATGTGAGGCATAGTCCACATGCCCGCCTGAATAATCTCTTTCAATGGATGATGGAAATGAACAGCCAGGGAAAGGGCAAGATCTGGAGTACAAATGAGATGGACTAGAGGGAAACAGGAGTGAAAGTGATGTTTCCTTCACACGCTGATTATGATTGGGATGAAGGAGAACACAGGTATAGTGATAAAGAATACGGGAGATGTTGATAGCAAAAATATTGGATCTACAATGTGAACACACAAAGAGGAGTAAGAAATATGTCTTGAGAAAGAGGTGGTGCAAAAAGCTAGGCCAAAGGTTCAAAGGTTAAGGGCATGAAGGACAATGTTGAAATTCCAATCTGGAAGGGGGAACTGAGGTGGGGCAGATGAACCAAGCGAAAGGACAGAAGTGAGAAAAATGAAAGTAATTAGATGAGGCCACCCTATAGCCTGATATAGTAGAAACATATAAATCATTGTTGAAAAGCCAACTAAAACACTTGGTTGGGAAGATGTAAGGCCATAGCCCACAAACAAACAATGGAAAATGTACCATCGATGCTGGTAAACCATCAAAGAAGAGTGGATCAAGCAAGAATGTAGGAAAGCTATTCACATAGGGAGTCCAGATCACCTCACAAGGAACCAGACAAAATCCACACGTGAAGACAGAATGTGGCTATGGTGGGATGAAAGATAGAGGACAAGGGATTGGGAAAGTGGAAGAGATATGGGAGGAGATGATCGAAGGAGGTTCAACAGTAGAAACCAAGGTTGTGCAAACCAGAATGGGGAGATGAAGAGGACTCGACATGGAATGGTTTGTATACGAGAGAGAGAATGCAAGGAAAAAGACAGATGAGAGGATAAACATACAGGTAAAGATTTGTACAATCCTGACTGAATGCACCTATTGCTAAAGCCAAAGGATGTTAAACCAAAGACCAGAAGAGGGGAAGTCTTATGTTGAGCTGAATGGCCAATGCATCCTGAAAGGGGGTGGGGGGTACCCAGCTAGGAGCGTAACCAATGGAACACTTGAGGGGCAAAAAAAACACTCAGTCAGCAGAATTTTGGTAGGACAAGATAGCCAATTGCCACAAGATTCAGAGCACCCAGGAAGTGCCCAGCACTTGAAAGCAAAGCAAATGGGACCAGGTGTCCCCTTGATGATAGGTGTAAGAAACAATGGTCGATTTGTCAGAATGTATCATGACCAGGTGGCACCTTACCATTGGCAGAAAATGAACCAAAGCCCAAAAAACAGCTAGGAGTTTCAAAAGGTTGATACCTAGGGAAGATTTGACCATCGAAAGGCTGTCTCCTGAGAATCCAAATATGCTCCCCATCCCATACGAGAAACATCTGAAAAGAGATGCAAATCGGGACGGTGAGAAGACAGAAGAACACTCATCGAGGTGTTGTGTCTGTTGAGCCACCAGGCAAAGTCAACTTGTAGGGCAGTAGGGAGGAAGATGGAAGAATTCAAGGGATCCTAAACAAGATTCCATCAGTTGTGCTGCACCCACTGAAGGCAATGCATGTGTGTGTGTGCATGACCCCAAGGGATGAGAGATTCCATGGAAGCCCAGGTCCCCAAAAGAGAGAGAGAACCTCACATACAGGAAAGAAAAGGAGAAGATTTGGCTTTGGAAACTGAAAGCTCCATTGGCCTCAAATGAAGAAGAGAAAGCTGGGTCCTGCTGAGGTAGGTATTGAAAAACACCCTAGATAAATAAAATACTGGGTGGGGCAAGATGGTACTTCTCCAGTTTGACAAGCCATTCCGTATGAGCTGCCTCTTGTAGGAGGAAATGGGTATGGTTGTGAAAGGCTTGTTCGAAAGGAGCTAGTCATCCATATAATGGTGAAACCACAAACCTTGTTTGTGAATACGGTAGGCAAAGGCTCTGACCATGCAAGAGATGTATGGTATGGTGCTGATGCCAGACCGAATGGTGGGCAAAGGCTCTGACCATGCAACCGATGTATTGTGCTAATGCCAGACCGATTGGTGGGCAAAGGCTCTGACCATGCAACCGATGTATTGTGCCAATGCCAGACCGATTGGTGGGCAAAGGCTCTGACCATGCAACAGATGAATGGTGCCAATGCCAGACCAAATAGTGGACAAAAGCTCTCACCATGCAACAGATATATGGTGCCAATGCCAGACCAAATTAAAGAGCACAGAACTGAAGCACCCAACTCCTGTGAATAAACTAAAGGTTAATTCTGGATGCTGGAGAGATCAGGAAAGGAAAGTAAGCATCTGAGACATCAACCTTGGTCACCCATAGACCTGGAGTGAACAACCATCAGAGGGCAAAGAAAAACTTGATAGTAAACCATGGGAGGTCGGTAAGGCGGTTGAGGTTGGAGAGATCGATAACAAGATGCTAATCCTTGGACTTCTTGGGAAGAACTTAAAATCAGGAATAAAAGCCCAGAGAAGGGTGAAACACTTGTTCTATAGCATCTTTGTTCAAAAGATTTCAAACCACCTTGGAGGGATGCTGGCAAGAAAGTGAATAACATGGAGGGGAGAAAAGAAACAGGGAGTGGGAATAAAGGGGGAGGAGTGGAAAAATAAAGAGACAGTCCTTCTGTTAGAGCCTGAACAACCCAATTGTCTGTGGTGAAAGGGCATCACAGATGGAGCAAACCTGACCAACCAAGCCCCTATGGTGTTAGAACTCATTGGATATTCTCTGACAAAATTGGCATCAGAAAATGCAGTGATGGGCAATTTGGCAGCTTGCCACAGAAACCTGAGAAGGTGGCACCAATAGATGGGAAAATGCATGGGGATGAGACATGGGAACAGAAGAAGGGGAGGATTGTGTTCTACAGTATAGAGGGAGTTAACTAGCAAAGTGTGTCGCACTCCTATTGATGGTGGTTTTTTATGTATGCTACATCTCTGCTACACTACATGAAATCAAGTGAGAGAAGGCAGGAGCATCAAGGCTAGTGGCAAGCAAAAATTGAGCAAATAGACGGCAGCACAAGTCAAGAAAAGGTAGGTATCATAACGGAAATTATTTTTCACATAACAACAACTTTATATAACTACATCTTTCATTATATTTTTTATTCTAAATATGAGTTGATAGCATAATATATGGTTCTAATTACAACAACAAAATACACGTGAAAGTGATCATGTAACAACTTTTTAAAGCAAATAAGAACATAAAAGAAAAAAAGAACAGAATGACACTTATTTTTTCATGAATCAAAAAAATGATTGAAAAAAGGACAAAACTTAAATCAATATTCTTGCAATAAATTTTGTTTTAATCCTGTTATTTTAATCAGTTTTAATATACACATATAGAATGAAACACCAAAGATTTTTTTATACATAAATCTTTAAATATGGTGGCCAAACACAATATTTGCATCCCACTAATAACCTTTTGATACTGTGTTGTTTCAGAATGCCAAAATAGTTCACTATAGATATGTACACATATTATACATGCTTAACACACTTCTTCCTCATCTTTGTCTTTAGATCCTTCCCCCGATGAGGTACCAGGTTGTGGGTCCTCTGATATCCCACTTCCTCCTTCCTCCTCAGTTTTTTCTGCACTATCTTCTTTTTCTGTTATCTTACTCTTCTGTTCATCTTCTTCCAAATCTTCCTCTTCTGCCTCTTCATCTTGAGAATTTTCTTCTTCCTCTTCTAATCAAATTATGCAAAATGAAAAATGTACTCAAAAATATATTACTTATAGCAAACAATCTGCACAAAACTATGCGTGTTGGCTTTAAAAAGTTTTTTTCATGGCATAACACAAGTTGTTTTATTCTTAGTAAATCCAACATTTATTATTTTTATTAAATGCATAACTAGAAGAGCTTACATATAATAATAAAGAACAAATTAGCTTAAGCCAGGGACACAAGAACAGATTACAGTGTACATACTATAAAATCAACCCCCCCCCCCCCCCACGTAGCACAGCGGTATGTCTGTGGACCTACAACATTAAAAAGCGGGTTTTGATACCAGTGATGAGCAGAGCATCCATTGTGTAGCTCTGTGCTTAACTTCAAAACAAAAACTATAAAAACCATTACCAGTTATGTAACTAATTCATAAACCCCTAAATATTCAAAGTAAAATTAATTTTCATAATTCCAATAACCTAAAGTTACTTATTGCTTTGAACTTACACACAGCATAATATTTCCATCATTCTCAATCCTTTATGAAAATGCACTAATTTTTACACATTCAGGGACAACCAAGTGAATCGAACCATACGTACATAAGATAAAGTATTAATTAAAAAATTTCTTAGATAAAAGAAAACGATTTTAGCACAAAAATAATAATTTTAAGCTGGCTGGAGTTACTAGAATGTTAAATGATTGAAATAAAGAAAACTGAAAACACATCTAGTAACGATGCTAATGAGTGTTAAACTGATTGCAAATTCTCAAGCAGCATTACTATTAAGCACACCTAAATTAAATATATTGAAAAACAGAAGTGAAACAGACACGAAATACTTTGTTCTTAACCACATAAAAAAAATAATGTATTTTTATAAAAACACAAACACAAACACTTTAAAATAAAAACAATCTTTAAGGATGAGAGACTATGTCTGTCTAAAGACTGTTAGAAGTGTTCTGAATATATATAAAATGTAATATGGAATGTTTCATACTGACTAAATGAAATGTATGAAGCACAAAAAAGGATACTGATATTGAAGCATTTTGACATAACATTCCCTACCATCATGCAGTTTTATAATTGAAGTATATTTAAAGAAAGGGCTAACCTGTTAATGAAGCACTCTAAGCATTTTTACAAATTTTTTACTCTGCACATGTTAAACTGAAAGCAGATGCAAGGAAAATTATTTCATAATTTATTTCATAACTGAGGTATTTAAGTTGGCATTAATAATGAATATTAATGTTTAGCATACCAGTTACACTCTCTGGATTTTCAACTTGATCATCTTCTGATTCGTCATCTTCTTCTTCACTTGCAACTATTCAAGAAAAAAAAAAAAGAAAGATAAGATATGTTCCTTTTTTTAAAACTCATATCAATAAGTTGTTTGAAGTTTCATTAAAACTAATTCATTCACATGGTTCTTATGTATGTTTTTTTGGTAAATAAGATGCTATTATTTATCTTGCATCACAACTACCATTATGGATTTCTAGAACTTTAAGGGTTTGGGGGAAAATAATGCTTTTACTTGAGACCAGATCCATAGCCTAACTAAGTTGTAGGTTTGAGTGCTGCTGGTTTCAGTTTTCCACCTTTCACAGGATGGGATAACACACTTAAGATTTCTATAATTAATCCATTTGAAAATTGGTTCTTGAAAAAAATAAAGTAACAAATATTGTAAGCTTTAAAAGCCACCTAGCAAAAGTTAAATATTTTTGGTCCATATCCTTTTGAATTGAAGAATCAATCTCCTCATAATCATCTCCTTTCAGCATTTTACAATCATAAGTGTATTTAAAAATTTTACAGTTCAAGTAGCTTTCCAATATTTCATTTTCAATAAAAAAAAGTCTCATCACATAAACGTTGTAATTCAGAAACTTATGATTATTATTCAAGTTTATTTTTCACTGAGGAAGCCTAGTTATAAATAAGGAGCAAGAACTCTCTCTCAGACACTCAACCATCCACTTACAAAAGCCATTAATTACAGTTACTGTCAGAGAAGGGGACATATTTTTTTGTCTGGGTAAAGCATTTTGTACATCAACTAAGCCTGTATTTCAGACCTGTTTATGAAATCATTTAACAAAAAGAATATGTCCATGATTTTGTGAAACACTAAAATGAAAGAACTATGCTATCAAGAAAACAGTTTACTGGTGATAACAGAGATTAATAAAAAAGAAAAAAAATCTTATCAACATGGTAAAACTCCTAGTCCTAATGTGATGCAACATAAAACTTTAAAGAAACAGAGAAATAAAACGATTGTTGGGATGTTAATGACTTTTGAGACTCATTAAACAATGAGGGAATTCCATCCAATCTACAAAAAAAAAGTTTGAAAAAGATACTGAAAAACTAGACATAGTGTGTTGACTTCTTTTTTCATAAAATGATTGAATATATTGTTATCTTTATTTGGATTATCATCTTTAAAGGGTATTTAGCATGAATTTAAGGAGTGTTCTTAGTACAGTGAACTCTGACATGTTTACAGCCTTTTTAAAATAGATATCACTGTGTATGTTATCTTTCAGAAAACACCAATAACATACTGAACAAAACTTAATGGTTATGTAAGATTCTCAAGAAGTAAATGAAAATAATAAACACTGTACTAAAATTTTGGTTATGTTGTATAAAACAAAATTTTAATTTAAAATGAATATGAAATTTACTAAGTTTACCAAGTTGATTCCCAGTTTGCCCCTGAAGAAGAAAGGTCCACTTTTCAAAAGTGCTTGGGTTATTTCGTTTTTATAATTTCGTATGCAATTTATTGAATGTATTAATGTGCCTTGAAGAGTTTAAGATCTTGTTTAGGGGCTTTTGTTGCTAATTGCAAATTTTATTGATGACAACTTGATCTCTTTGTGCTGATGAAATTAGGTTTCTTTTAAATAACTGGATCACATATATTTCAACATTAATAAGTTTAAAGTAAAGTACTTAAACATACAAACTCAGAATTGATTTAATTTTGTTAGAAAAATAGATGTAATATAAAAAAACAAGGAGTTGAGTAGGTAATGGGAAAATGTCTGAAACCTGTGAGTACCAAGGTTTTAACAAAGTAATAAACTCATCTACAGTTACTTTAAGTTTTAAAAGCAAGAAATTGTTCCCAATGATTTCTCTAGTCTTATTTTAAACACATACCTCCTAAATTTAATGTCAAACAACATAACAAATTAAGTCAATTTATTTTGTAAAATGAATCTTTTGAGAATTATACTTTTCTTAAAAGTTTGAAAATCATTATGGAATTAATAAGAACATTAGAAAGTTTATTTATGGTAAAGCTATTAAGGCTATCTGCTACCATCCATAATATTGAACAGTTGAATAATAAATAGTGGGATTCACCATTACATTACAATTCCTTCATAGCTGAGAAAGTGATTATTTTCTACAATAGGTTTTGATCTTAAGACAAGCAGAGACAAGTACTCTAACCATCAGGACAAAACTAGAGCATATACTCAGATAATGTAGTATTATTACAGAATTGAGGGAAAACAAGACAATTGTACATTTCACAAATACACCATTTAGTCACAAACATGGTGAAGGAATCTTGTACCTGATAATGCCTCTTCTGGCAAATAAACAATGTATTTGTTAAACATACAGTTGTTTTTCCTCAATTCTGTAATTATGGCATTTCACCAAGTACGGACAGTTTCAAGTATCAATTATTATGCAGCAACACTGTTTAATTTCTATGTGGTAGCCACGGAAAAATGTCTTACTTTTACAATGATATGCACTAACTTTATAAAAGTTATCTGTGTAGTACTGTAAACAAAGCTTCAGTATCATTTACAGGAAAGAAGAAAGACTTCCACTATAATAATTTAGTGCTTTGGGTTCATCAATGTCAACCATATGTCCTAAAGTAATCTGAATATAAAATCAAAGTTCAGATAATGTTAATATTATATATATAAGTTTTAATCATTACAGCTTTACCTTATAAAGTGTCAGATCCATCAGAAAATAAGTAATAAGCAAACCCATAGTCTAACAAGATAGCATTAGTTTTATTGCAGGTTAAAACTTTTTAAATTCTCAACTGGGAGACATGGTCTAATGACAGACTTAAATCATCTCTATTGGCTAATTCACTCCTTTTTTGCGAAACTCCCGTGGCTTTTGGATACACGGGTTCAGGGCTTTTAAGGTGATGCTAATTAGAGTGATGCAATATTTTTCATGTTGAATAACAAACACTTGGTAATCTGAACTAGTAGGTCTTGTTACATCTGCATTTTAGAAACACAGTGCTGTTATTCTTTGCATTTTATTAACATTTTCTGTGTATATAATGCAGAATTCTGCATAAATGCCACCTCTGTGTTCCTTAGTATAAGACACTAATTAAATCCTTAGGCATAGCACTGTGTACTGTTCTGGTATTCAGACTATAAAAAGGATGCCAATCTGCTAGAAATGGTACAATGAAATGTTACTAAAGTGATGACAAATTGCAAAAACTGGATGACAAGGTGGACTTGGAGAGGATGCATTTGCTTTACATGAAGCAAGGGAAAAATTAGATATTATGTGAATCAAATTTGCTGCTTGGATAAACTACCTGTTGAACATCTTGATAATATTTGTAATGGTAACTTGAATGTCATGGGTAATAAGTGTTGGAAAGCTATAACTAAGACATGTCTTAAGTTACCATTTTTAACTAGTAGTTGCTCACCTTTTGGCCAAAAATAGTTTAAAATTTCCTGAATGTTTATAATGTAACCTAGTATGAGTAACATTTTGCATAAAGTCTTGTTCAATAACTGAGTATTGTTACAAGTTCTGACATTTGTAATTACACAAGTATAATTGCATTGTAAGTTGTACTTAATGGGTGATGTCCTGTATCTTACAAATAAATATTTTATTCCTTCTTTAACTGTATAGATATACTCAACAACCGCGATACTTCAGTAACATGTCATGGTGTTGTCTATGTTTGCCTACATTGTAGAAGGAACTTCACAGTGCTTAAAGAGCAAGTAACATGAAATTGGTAGTATGATGCATTAAGAAATACAAGGGCTGCATAATTTTATCTCAATAAAAATTTTAATCTAATAACTCAAGAATGAAGTATTAGTAGTAAACTTGTGGATAAGGCTGAACAGTTGGACTTGTTTCTTCATATGCTCAAGCCTTTAAAGGTTGAACAGTACTTAAAATTCCATTTTTTTTTCCCTGCTGCAGTACTAGTTGATGGAATAATGATTTGGTGTGCACCAATAATTAAAACTCTAAGATTTTGTCTGGTAGGCATATGAATGTCAATGGTTACATTAAAAGAGGTAATGCTGGTTTTTGTCATCCAGTGATTAGCAGTGAACTCAATGAGCCAAACAGCCTTGAGGTACCTTTTTCATCTTTATGTTAATTGATGTGTGATACTCCACCCAATAAGCTGGAAACCCAAACACTTACCCCCTTGAAGTGCATTCCCTAGGACACCCATTTCAAGTCTTGCTAATTCCAAAAGAGCTTTTCCATAGAAAAAATATGCCTCTCCACATTCATTGGCTGTTTCTCCATATTTTTCTGCAAACAACTTGCATGACTCTTGAAAGCTAGAGACAGCTGATGGATAATCTTGTACAAGGAGGTGCCTTTTACCTTGGAAAAGGTAATTTACAGCTTCACCAGCAAGATTTCTTTAAATGGGAGAGATAAAAGACATGATTTACTTATAAAAGGAGTTGCTTTTTTTTCTTTCTGAAAGGTGCATAAAACATATCTGCAAAAAACAAAACAAAGTATTTTTATAGCATTTAAATAACTTGTGAAAACTGGAAAATTATAAATATTTAACAGAATTAAATACAGATATAAATCATAAAATTTATTTTACAATGTTGATTCAGAAAAAGATTATTTGTCATATTGCTGAAGTCAATCTCTAACAGTAACTGTATTTCATTAAACTTCAATAACATTCAGCTTCAAATCAGGTAAAGATTTAAAAAAAGAAGAAAATCATCAGGATCAAATTCATTCCTCCATTTAGGTTTTCCCTTTATTACCCACAGCCTTTTATGCATTTGGAAGCTTGATTTTTTTAAGGCCTCAGCTTGTTATTATTTCATCCAGTATATATTTGTCTTTGAACATGTTCTTACTTAAGCTTTTTTCACTACTGTTAATAGTAGACAAGTGTGGATGACATGGCCTTTCACCCGTGATCTGTCTGGAAAGGGTTAATCTATCCTTGTATAAGAACCTTTCCATTCAGGGTATTGCCTTAGTAGCTCTTTTCTGAACTTTTCCCAGCAATTCAATGTCCTAACTAAAGTAAGAAACCCAAGACTGAACACAGTACTCAAATGTGGTCTAACCAGTGACCTACACAATGAAATAACTTTTTATACTTATATTAAATATTTCCTATAGATGCAATCCTAATTGCCCTAAACTAGCAACAGTAAACTGCTTGGATGGAGTAAGAGACTGATCTACCTAAACACTAAGATCCTTTTCTTCCATGACACTTAAGATTCTTCCCAAGAAAATTATAATCAAAATTACGATAACCCATGTACATTAAAATGAAAAGCCATCTGCCATTTATTCACCCAACTCACCAAATCCTTTTGTAAAACAGCAGCATTACTTCACAGCCAACAACTTTAGTTAGGACATTGAATTGCTGGAAAAATTTCAGAAAAGAGCTACTAGGACAATAGCCTAAACAAAAAAGTTCTTATACAAGAATATGTTTTACTTTTGTTATCCATGACCCCCTTTAATAAATATGGGGTCTTGCACCCCCCCTAATTTTTTAATTGAGTGAAAGAGTGAGTTAAGTGACAAGTTGTAATACACAGATAAACATTCAAATGTGTTGTAATAATCACTTATTATTTTCATTAATAAAAAATATATTAAAACAATTTTGCATTATTGCACTATTGACTCTACCTTCACTGCTCGAGCCCAGGTAAAGGCGTGCACCCCAAACTTTGGAAAACAATGTATTATGTTATTAAATTCCAACCAGAGCAAGCTATGTACTTGCTGTGAAACTAAAAATCAATCTGATAATCAGCATAGCTAATTAAATACACCCTTCTAATGTTTCTATGTATATAAAGAACAATTGGGTACCTTCACTGTCAATTTTTATAGCTAAAAACCCAATAATATCTCATGATTTGTCAAGTATTGGAGTTCTATGTTAGTCCTAAGTACATATATTATGCTATCAATGCAAAAGAACCTTTGTAATAAAATTATACTAATAAAAATTAATAAACTTAAAGTAATTACATTCAATAAACTAAATAGTATGATAAATACTATTAATGAAAGTAACAATATATGAATAATATATCATAACTTACTTATGAAACATAGACTATCTGTTACCTTGAAACATTTTTTTAAAGTTTCTTGAAAAAACATAACCTTAGTATAACATGCCTATTTTTTCTCCATTTATCCCTAACATATCTCTCTACCAAAGAAAACTCCTTAACCACTATTACTGAGTAACAAATTTATGATGATACGCTACTGTTTAAACTGTTTTGAGTTAGTAGCACTAACTTTCATACAGTACAACCAAAGACTAATGCTTTCAAAGATACAACACTGCATCATGAACATATGTCTCTTTACTCAGGTAAGAAACCAACCTCTGACATCATGTATAGTTATGTTCAGTGCAGTATTTTAAATCAATAACAGATAAGGTTCTACAAGTCCTTCTATTAAAGAGTTAAAATACTTTTGTATATGTATACAGGATCTAGTCTTAATTTAATGATTAATATCATATCCAGATTTTACTTCCGAAACGAAATGATGACCTGAAGATTCATGCTTACTATCATACAAACATAACTGCTATCATTATATTTTTGTAAAGATGATGCTGTACAAGTTATAAATTTAAGATTGTAAAAAAAAAAAAATCATACATTTTCAGTTGAGGTAGTTTAACTTCTCTAACAGGTGGTTAGTCAGTGGAGCAGATTTCAATCTAGGACAGTAGAGACAACACATTGCAGAAGCAGACATGGTTTGAAGGGCTCAACCCCTCACCCACCCATAGATAATTCATTGCAACATATTATCTTAAATAAACAAGGGTTAAAATTAGTAAAACAAAAAACAACAACAATTATAATTATTATTACTTAGAAGGTACAAATGATGGTGTGTACTTTAAAATGCCTACAAAAATTTTAGGTCAGTTACTTTCCAACTGTATGTTTCTGGTAGTGGTAAAAGATACCAATATTTTGCTCAATGATATTACTACCAATTTAGTATCATACTTGATATTGCTACAATACCACCAGAAAAGAAACATTGGAAGAACATTGATAATAAAAAACATACTAGGAGCTCCTATTATTTGTAACACTTCTATTCATGTGACTCTTTTGCACAGTATTCCATTATGACTATCATAAAATGCAGATTTGTTATAATTAGCTCCTTGTTTGTTGCTGCAAAAGGTAACAGCATTGCACTTCTAACAAATCCAATTGTATCAAATTACAATGTACTTTTTATATAATGCAATTTGAAAAATGTTTCACTGCTCCAAACATTACACTTTCATTATGACACACCCATAAGCTAACAATTTGTTACAATAAAACTACTGTTAATGTTATTCGGTAAGAGTCTGGGTTACCTTATTATTTATTTGGTTTTAAACTTTGCAAGGTAAAGCTATAATAACTAAAACTTTTATATTATTGAATATATAAAAATGATTTCAGCTTTTGACTTATTAAGGTTAGTTTATGACTATATGGTCTACACGATTAATCCAAAATACTACACTATTATAGTGGAAGTCTCTTCTATGTAAAAAATACAAAACATATGGTTTAGTGTTACACAGCTAACTTTTTAAAAAGTGGTCATGTATCATACCATTATCATAAAAATAAAACATTACAGCTGCTAGCATGGAAAAAAAGTTAAACACTGTTAACAAAGCTGAGGAATTCAACAGAATAATTTATTACCTATGAGCAACAATTACTTAGATTAGTGTCGTGTAAATTAATTAATTAATCAAAATTAGTGTTTTCAATTATTATTGTTTCCTATTATTTCAACAATCATTTACTTGAAAATACAATTATATCAGCTGTCATAAAAATAATCAACTAATCGAAACTAACCTTCCAATTATTACAATTTTTTATCAATCCAGCCATCCAAGTAATCAAAATATTGTTATTATGTTTGTTTCTAAATGAAAATCTACATAATAGGTTATCTGTGCTCTGCCCAATTTTAGTCAGATAAGTTAATTCTTATTTACTTCAAGTTTGTTCAACTTCGATGATTCAAGTGGAAGCTTGTGATTCGAGTCTCGGATAGGATTTCCATTACCAACAAACTTACTCACTGTGTCTTTATTTTGGCAAAGCTACAAAGCCTTTCTACCAGTATCATTAATACTGAGCTGATGATCAGAGAAAGGCAACTAGCAGGCAGCACCAACTTTTGTTTTAATTATGTATCTACCATGATTTGAGGAATACTATACTAATCAATAAATGGGGATGTTGATTAAACAAAATACCATCAATTGCCCAGTTCTAGTTTCTAACACAAGAAGCCTATATTATCTGAATAGTCTTTCTAGTTTTATTCTTATTCTTTCCCTAATGATTTCCAAACTCTGCAAGATAATTACAATTATCAAATTTAGGTTACTTGATGAACACCCAGAATACATCTTTGTTGTTGTTTTTACTAAGGCTAAGTATGTTTTTGCCTATTAAAAACACGAGTTATGATTATGCATTTTCCTATTTGATTACAAAGCATTTAAGTAACTGTGAAGTTATAGATACAACACTGAAGCCTCTAACAATGTCATACTCATGCTTATGAACATGTAAAACAGTAATGAGTTGTTTGGAATAAAATGTCTGAAAAGGTGAATGATAAGTGAATATATTTTTCATTGATTCTAAACATTCAACAGTGCAAGAGTTTAAAGTATACCTCTGAGTTATCATTATTGCACATACTACTATGTATGTGCATTATGATTGGGCATTAGGCATAAATTACTATAGGTGATGCATTATTGCTTTCGTGTTAACTTACATTAGAAAATAACTACTTTAATACAGTACGTAAAAATCTAGGCATTATCATTGAAGAAATAATTTTAAGAAACAATTTTAAAATGGCTAATGTGACCTCTAATCATGGCAGTATTATTTCCAACTTAGTACCATGGCTCCCAAAGTGCACAATACTAGAAACACAACATTTTGATATACCAGTACTACTACTCATCACAAGTTTCTGGTATACCAAATTATTGTAAAGCATGCCGTAATTTGTTGAGTGTGAAAAAAAAACTATGCTATTTAAATATAGTGTATCTAATATTTTTGAGTGTGATGAGGCTGTGTGGAGGTATTCAGATGTATGTACCATTTGTTTTGTGTGCTATATGAGAAGGAGAGTTTGTGTACTGTATTCCACGATTAAGGTGATTTTATATAGGTAGTAAATAAATTAATCAAACATTCTTGCTTCCTATCATTTTCATGATTCTAAATGTGCATAATGCATTGACAGATGGGTTTCTGCAACCCTCTGGAAGGAGCTTACAGCACTACCTTAAGACTCCCTAGCTGGAATAGAGAAGAAACTCTCTCCCATTTCC